CTATGCAGTTGCGAGCGCCGTAAAACACTTTACAAAAAAAAAACAAAAAAACCCCAAGAAGCCGTGGGTTGTCATCTATTTGGAGGAAATCTCAAAACAACCACCACTAAACGTATTATGCTTTAAAACGCTGGGGAATATTGCAGTTAGTAGTCACTCGCCTGTTAAGGTATCCTATATCTAAGGGAGTGGAATTTGTGATCTCTGCTTTAAACTGTAAAAGGTGCAACTATTTTATGTATTTCTGTCTGCTTTAAAAAATCAAAACCACATCCACAAAACGTATTATCGCCATCACGCTGGTAAAATGGATTAAGCCCAGAAAGCATTTTTTTCAGGAAAGAGAAACATGAAACTGTTTCATTCTTTTAACAATGTATTGTACCTACATTATGTATTTTTGTTGCTTTTTTCAACAATGCCTTAACCCCAGAAAGCAAATGTTACAGGAAAGACAAAACACTTTTTTGAGATTCTTTAAACAATTATCACTGCTTTATTTTTTTTTCTTGCTTTTATTTTCAACATTTAAATTTTGGATTTGGACGACATATTTTTTAGAGTACATGCAAACGATACGGCAGATTAAGAAACGGTACTAAAAACAAAAACAAAAGTTAAAATTATGAGCTTGTTACATTTTAACAGCTGGCTGACGTTATGCTAGCGAGTAGAGTCAGTTAGTAGCCAGACACCTGTGTAGGTACACCAGTCGCAAGTCGGGGTGAAGGTCGTAACAGCAGCCTATCAGAACTGACCCGTAGAAACTTCCAGGTGACTGACCAATGTCACGGACACCGAGTGACCAGCCCACACAAACAACTAGGGGAGGTGTCCATTCTTCTGCTTTCTTTCGCGCCATTACGTTCGGACCTGGTCCTGTCTGTGCGTTCATGTTCTTGCATTTCTTTTTTTTCTTTTGGTACTATTTTTATTTCTTTCTTTCTTTGTTTTTTTCTTCTTCATTTTCTCCTTTCGGCATTCTTGTTCTTCTTCTTTCTTTTTTATTATTCTACTTTATAGTGTGGTCAAAAATTCATGGCAATACTTACTAAATATCATTTTAACGGATGAATCAATGTCACATATACTTTGCGTAGCAATTTGTATCAGTTTGCTTTAACCTAATGTTTTCACAACAACTGCGGCTAATTAAAAAAGAAACTTTTCTTAATAAATTTATATATAAAATACTACAAATCTCCTTTGCGCTGAAAATGGATTGGTTTACAGCACTTCCCGCTTCTCACACACATTTTGGGTACGCAGATGACCTACGTCACAGCTCACCAATACCATTTTTGAGTAGCAAAACTCGGTACAAGAAATACATTTTAAAGATAACACTTTTTTGCACTAAAAGTTCTCAAAACAGGTGTTCAATAAGCATAATCTCGCAATTAAAAAAAAACACACAAAAAAAACACACAAAACCGACGGACTTGTTTTTAAAAGCGATATTGTCCAAGCTGTAAACCTTTTAAAATCTATAGAAACCAACAACTAGGATTTTTTATATCAGTGCGAGTCGTATTTATGAAGGAATTTTCTAGAATAGAGCTAACAGGTGTTAACAAAAATATTGATCCATTAAGACAAATTGATACAAGACGATATTCAAAAGCTGGAGACTCTATGTTAAATAGTTGAGGAGTTATTTTTTTCTGTTGGTATTTTTTTCTTCCTTTCTTTCTTTCTTTTGGTATTCTTCTATTCGTTTAATTTGGTATTTTGTTTTTCTTCCACTTGATATAGCCCTGTTTTTTCCTTTTGCATTTCCCAAGATCTTTTTCTAACTATATTTCTGTCTCACTGGTTTCCTTGTTGTCACTCCCCTCTCCCCAGTTTCATCCTTTTAAATATATATAATTCTTTAATCCCATCTTTTGAAACTTTTCTCTATCAATCTCCGCCCTCCAACTTTTATCTCCCCTCAGCATTTTCTCTATTTGTCTCCCCCTCTTCTTCCACACCAGAGTACCCGACAAACACAAACAGGAAGGAGAAGAAGAAATAGGGACGATAGATATGTGTTTTATAGGAAAGAAGGAGCAATCCACACCAGAGTACCCGACAAACTCCCCCTTCCTTGACCAACCTGTTCATTCATTTCACCAACGTAATTCACCTCTGGAGAAGGTATACCCCGTTGACCTGTTCTGGGCTTTCCACTACCATTCACGATATTGTGACCCGTTTCTATCTAAGTCTTATCTATTAAGAGGGCGATAAAAAATTATTTTCAGCTATTTATTCCAGCTTTTTATTTATTTTGTTTCATAATTATCGTTTTGTCCCTTTTATGCTTTCTTTCCGCTCTTCCTTTAGCCCTTTTAGTTCTGATACGTTTCCTGTTAGGTCCGTAAAGTCAAAATACAATGTTCATTTGAGAGAGATAAAAACCAAGCTAGAATAATAATAATAATAATAATAATAATAATAATAATAATAATAATAATAATAATAATAATAATAATAATAATAATAATAATAATAATAATAATAATAATGAAACGATGCTACTGCTGCTGCTGCTGTTGCTGCTGCTGCTGCTAAAACAACAACAATAACAACTACTGCTACTACTACTACTACTACTACTACTACTACTACTACTACTACTACTACTACTACTACTACTACCACAACTAAGTATTTAGCACTCCATCTTCCCTTTCGAGTAAAAGCTTTGAGCGCTTTAGATCGATGACAAGATCACTGAGCGTTATACTAACTTATTCTTCATTCTTAATAAGAATAAGAAACAGCACAAGTTGCAAATACATCTTCAAACATATCCACTATGAACCAGTACAGACATGGCATTGAACAAGTTCGGGAGAATACTAGAAAGTTTACATCTACACGGACGCGAAGAGGTTAGAAAGAGGGTTCAAAAGTTATATGTCCAATCGATACGTAGATGGAACCTAATTTTCATAATGTCTTACTTTATCTAGAAACATGAACAGCAACTTATTAAGGTCTCTGCTTTGGAGGAGAAACATTGTAATACTTTTCTTTTCATGGAGTTTGAAGGAAAGACGAGACTGTACAGAAAGAAAAATGGAACGCCTAATGGGAACTCTTAGTAAAGATTCCGAGGCTGAAGAACACCAGCGGGATGAGTGATTTTAGTCATCCTTTTAAAAGACATCTATTTCGCTTTCAAAGCTATCTATTGTCAACACTTCCTCATTTGATAGGAGAGAATTAATGATAAAATATCCACCGGTTGTTGTGCTGTTAGCACAGTTTGTATTGTGCCGGGCAACAGTGCGTGTGGCTCTGGTTCAAATTTCCAATACAGTGCTCCTGGATTTGGGATGTTTAGGGGCTGTTTTAAGGCTTTCTGTCCGCTTGGCTCGAAGCTGTCGGAAATGGGTGCTAAATTCAGTTTTGAAAGGAGTCTAACAAAGTGCAATTGGTTGTCTGTTTGAAGAAAGAATAAAAGAACACAACCATTTCGTCCAGATTTCGTAGGGAAATTTTGATTTCAATGGAGTGAGAAG